AGCTGAGCAACCGTGGTGCAACTCAATCCAACCCAACTGGGGATCATCATAAAATTAAATCAAATTCTCTACTATCTTCATGCACAGGCTCTAAATGTTTACAGCTGGGCCATAACCCTGGAGGTTAGTTTTGATATCTGCGAGGTGTGACCTCCTTAGTAACTTCGCAATGATGGTGGATCGTGCTAAGTTGTGTAACGGCAAAAGAAGAATGGAATACATTGTTTATCCAAATCAGCTAACTCGCTACCATATTTCTATTGTTCATTTTACCCTCACGAAGGCCAACAGTTTGTGTTTCAGACCCATCACACCAATATTTTTCACGTATCACCACTTCCTTCATCCTCCTTATCATCATCATCATCAGCATTCTCATCAATAAATTCATGCAAATCGAATACAAGCATAATGCACAATTTGTTCGCAATGGAATTTCTGCTTGCGAGGATCCACAACACGACCGTGCGATGCACTGTGTGATATTCGCGAATTCTCATAGATAATACACTGAAAATGACTAATAGCGAGCCATAATGCACCAAGATGTTGGCCGTTGATGAGTGATGGTTTCGAATCTCAACCCCGATTTTCCTTGGTTTTTGTCCTACACGAGAAACGACAAGTTCCGAGAGGGAATAAATTGTTACCACAGGGGTTAGCAACTCAACAAGAACGGAATATGTAAACTCTGATTTTTATGAGTTCTGATGAACGACACTACTGTGTGACTCAAGGACGGTTATAAACAGTAAATGGGCAGGAAACCAGACATTGTGAATGATGACGATGACAATGATTATTATTATTATTAATATTATTGATCATGACGATAATGATCAAATCCGATAGGGTAATTCATCAACTGAACACCTATAACTATTCTTGGAAGATTCTTCGGAGAATATCAATGGACAAATAATATAGTGAACAATCATGTTTTCCTAACTTCGTCTTCAGGCATTTACAGCTGTGTATTTATACGTCAGGTAGAAATAAACGTGATTGGTTTAACAATTTAATTGGGAAAGAACAACGATGCTCTACGTATATAATTGTAAATGGCCACTTGATGAATTATCGAAAAACAGATAGATTTTTTCGCCTATCGGACTTTATTTTCAATGTGGCAATGAACGTTGGCCATACTTCTTTTTATAAAACACCTTTGCCTGATGAACAGCAGACGAGCTCGACTCCATAGTCACGAAGACTGCTGTTCAATGATGAGAACCGGTAACCTAAGCCCCGGGAATTGGAATGGCGAACCATACAAGGCCCCGCTCGGTCAGGCAGGGTATTGAACCGGACGACAGCAAAGCTGTCTATTGCAGATGATCATGGCCATTGTGATGATGATAATAATGACAATAATAATAGTAATACTGTTAAGGAGGAATAGGAGAGAGCATTGAATAGAATACAATCATTACCAATCATGTGTCCGACTGGGTGCAATTTTACATTAATATGTGGTCAAATAATAATAGCAATTATAATAATAAGTTGACAAACTGGGGGACGTACTGAAGTGAATCAGGGAAGCAGCTGTATCAAGAGTTTACCTCTTTCGTTTGTGAGTAAACTGGGAAACATCAAATTACGTTTGTGGTTAACATATTTCGAGAACTCATTGTTTCAAGTGATTTCAACCCACCCGTTTCATCTCCACTACAATCAGTTAATTCTCTCGCTCGCTCGCTCTCTTGAGTTTCTATCCGAAATTCTAACACACCCATAATTGATCATAAATTTTTGCTGGTTACTAGGGTTATTTCTGATTCATCTCGATTTTCGTTACGGAAAAAGGTTGATTTTGATTATCTACGGGGCTACGGGGTTTAAAAGCAAGGTCTAACTAGCAGCATGGAGGTTGTGGGTGTGTGATGGGGGTGACGGGGGGAGGAGATGCCGCGTTGTCGCAGATCACATGATTGGTAGTGTTTGGGCGGGGCGGGATGGGAGGAGGGCACATGTTTCAGGACAGTCAGTTGTAAAAGACTAAGAATTTTCGACAGGAATATCTAATCCATTAGCACACTAATGGAGTTCCGATTAGAGTATACATCATGTTGTTGCTAGTGGACAACGAACGAGTTGGAGGCCAAAAGTGGCAAAAGAATGTCGAACGGGGTTGAAGGGACGAATGAGAGGGAGAGCAGTCGAGGACCGAAGTGCGCGACAACCCTATTGCGTGGACTGGGAAGGAAGGGAGGAGGAGGACTGGGGGAGTGGATGAGCTGAGGAAGGTGTGATTTAACGTCTGGTTTGGCTAGCCACCCCTTGTGGTCCAAATTTCACGGATTTCAATGGAAGTGCGAATGTGTATGTATGCCTGTGTGTGTGACGAACTGTTGAGATTCACATCACCGCCGGCAGAAACCGATGGTACAACATGATGGTGATGTAGAGTTTGAAGTTTAAATGCGATGGAAATCTTTGTGATGACCGACAAAGAGCACTGGACGACTGCTTCGTCCTGTTTGGGACTCGTCAGCAGTGCGAACATTCTCCATCTAAACTGACTGAGCCATTCGTACATGGTGATAAACGTCGGTCGTGTGGCTGCGGGGTAAAGGTTTGAAGTCCGGACCCCGAGGTTCGCGGTTGGAGTCCGGACACAGATACAAAAACTATGTACTGCTGATGAGTCCTAAACAGGACGAAACAGGTGTCCAGTGCTCTTTGTCGGTCAACACAAAGATTTCCATCGCATTTAAATGCATTTAACTAGTGGAGACTTAACGATCTCTCAAAATGTGAAACCCACATCCAAGATCATCAACAGTGCCTGTGAAAAACCGAATGGCTAATCCAAACCATCCCCATTTAGAGTTTGAAATAATAGTAATGCTTTCTTGTCACATCATATTTACTAGTGTGCTTCGCCATGCTCCTTGTGGTTTTACAAATCTGTCATATGACAAGTCATTATTTGTTTCGTTGAATCGTTGATTAATCGTGTAGATCAATATGCGCACTATAATAAAGTCAAACAAACTGGCCAATATAATTAACTGTGGGGGGATATGTTTAGTGTTCATTCTGATTTGGATCTTGTTAGACTAGGCACAGAACGTATGCCGTGTGTGTTAACTTATAATCGGTGTCATGGTTTACATTGTCACTCTGTCAGACACGGTTTCCACCAGTGTAATTCTCAAAGTGATTCCATCCCAATGATTTAGACAGGGTAGATCAGCTTAATGTCTTTTCTTGGCGAGTATTTTCACAGGTAAGAGAGAGAGTGGGAAGCCAATATTTGGAGTTAAATTATGGCAGACCAGAAGCTGCCCTATCCAACCCCGACCCCAAACAGGCGAAGAGTTAGCGAAAGAATGTCATTCATTATGCCCTCAATCGGACAGTCACCGACTCGATTAGTCAATAGAGCATACTGGACACTCAGAACGTTGGAGGTTCTTTCGAAACATTTATGGTACTCGCCTTCGTGGGATAACAGATTCCAAGTACCATCTGATTGTTTTGAGCATCGAAGTGTGTTTTATTTTGAAGTCTCTCACATACCCTCGATGTGGAGCTTGTATTATCCACTTCCATTAATTTCATATTAAAATAGACGAGAGTGAAAATTAAAAATTTGGTTTATGGTACAAAACACTTTGCCGTTTATTTTGATTTGGTTCAGATCAATAACCAAGACAGTCATCACTGCCAATCCAATTTTTGAAATCCTTCCACAATTAGCTCAACCGGTAAGTAAATGCGTTTAGCTGAGCTAGAGGTTAACTCTATAGGATATCTCTAAATTGGTCTGGTTAAACGTTCAGATGAGATTGCTTTCTATAAATGATATTCACTTTGTTGTGAAATTCGGTGTGGGACGGTCATAGTAGTCAAAAATCAGAGGAAGAGACTAAATATAGCATTGGGAACCCTAATAGGATAGAAACACTACTGTTTACCGCAGTATTCTCAAAAGCATAGGTTGTGTGATAACCTTTCGAGAAGAACGAAGAGCACCGGGTGGCTATTAGCTACTCCTCAGCAGTGCGTATTAAGATCATATCTCTGCGGGGACTCGAAACGCGCCTTTGGTTTAGGAGACAAAACAATCAAGGCCAAAAATTATATGCTTAGAGATGTGAATTACAAATGTTCTTAGTTAATTTCACACACATTCACTGAAACCAGATTCTGTTTATTGATGTTCTGATGAGTGTTAAGAAGAACGAAATGGCCATCTGGTGCTCTTTGTGGACGTTCACAGACCATGCACAGTGCAATATATCAGAAATAGGGCGATTAAATGAACTCCTGTGGACTGAAAACCACACAAGAATAAAGTTACCTTTCGATCGGAGCTAGCAGATAGTCAACTGTGTCTCCTTTCGTTGCTAACGGGCCAAATTGAACTGAAGATAACACCTGAACAAACATGAATTGGCAATTCGGTTTAGCCCTGGCGTGAGCTGGTTGGTACAGTAGTAACACACGCCTTCCATGCGATAGGTCCGGAGTTCAAATCCTGGAAGGGACGGTAGGTATGCACTACTGATGAGCTCTAATAAAAGCAAAACTTGAGTCTAGTGCTTCCGAGTATATGATTGACTGGAAGGAACGTGCGTGAAGATGAAGACAGAGGGATGGTCAGTCCTAATCAATTAATCACTGTTGAAAGCCGTTCTCTTTCGTCTAATGCTTCTTGCTACTCATAAGTAATATCATTTATTACAATAAAAATAATTAGCGAATTGCAGGCGGTGCTGGCAAAAAGGACATTGAGCAAATTTAGAAAACTACTGATTCAAGCATGAAAATGATCCAAACATTTTCTCCGGACGATGCCGTAACTTTAGTTGCGAATTTTTCTGAACCAAACAATTTAAACCTAATCTATGTGATTCTGTGCGTTGGGTTGTGATTTCAATCTTTGTGGTCATACAGGATGAATGTTTCTGTAACTGCTCTTGTTAGGAAATAGACTATACGGTGTTCCATATTTTCCTCTTTCACCATCGTCCCTATAGGTAGCTTGTATGTGCGAAACCCTGCTTCAAAACGACGACGTTGTCCAACTCCGCCGGCTTCTCCGGGGAATTCCTTCCGACTGGGTCTATGCAGATTCCCGCACAGTGTCCGATTGCAAATCGCATCAGTCCATCTTAAAATCTACGGCAAGATTGGCATTGGACGACGGGAACTTCACCTTGCTATTTCAAATTATTGAAGAAAATCACTTTGACTACGAACATCATAGCCTCCTTCAGCAAATATGGTATCAGGCCCACTATGCACAGGCGACACGCCGCCGCGGTAGACAACTGACTGCTGTTGACAAGTATCGTCTGCGGCGACGCTATCCGTTGCCGGCCACCATTTGGGATGGAGAAGAAACGGTGTATTGTTTCAAACAGAAAGTGCGTGAAGTGCTCAAACAGTGCTACGAGCAGAATAAATACCCAAATCCGTCAGAGAAATATGTCCTGGCCAGACATACTGGATTGACTTTCACTCAAGTATGTTAAAAAGCGAGAAATATCTAACCTCTCTGCCCATTATATTTATGATTTTGTTGGAATTCAATCAATCTGTTAGTGCAATGATAAATGAGTGAATTATAATTAGTGGGTCAATCGACCAGACAGCCATAGACAATCATTAATATCTGAGGTGTGTAAGTAGTTCTAGGCTTGAAATCAAACAGTTACGGACGGTTTCCTATAAGAATTTATCAAGTCAGTCTGAATTATGCCAGTGTTTGGGGAGGAATTGGTACTCTTCTATGAAAAACATCGAATTTATTCACACCAACAACAAACTTGCTGCTCTTATAATGATACCGCGGGTCTCCACCGTATTGCCCATATATATTTCCTCTTTCCCAACTCTCAGGTCCTTTTGTCATTATCTCACAACCGGTAAACTGAAATTCGGTTGGATTTGATTCATGAAAGACAATCTGAGCTAGGAAAGAGCTTCATGAAGTGATTCATTTTTGTGATCAGAAATGACTTTGTTTCACAATGGCCCTTTCAGTATGAATTAGAATAATACGGGGTGGGCGGAGAAACCGAACATGGTTCATGGTTGCGACGAAAGATTGCCTCCAAAGGAATGAGTCAATGAGGACCGCATGAAGAAAAACATGTTACAATGTCTGCCGATCAGTATCCTTATTCGGAGAAGTTTCATCCAATTGTCTTTCATCAATCTATACGACCGAGCTAATAACTATTCAACTTTTGGTCATTTTTGGTCCGCCGAAGAAAATTCTTTTTTATCTTAACGAATTAAACTGTCATGAATACTTCTCTCTCTGCTAGTCTTTGATCAGCTATTTCAAATACTTCCTGTTCATCTTCATCAACTGCAGGTTAGTAATTGGTTCAAGAATCACCGCCAAAGAGACAAGTGTTCAGTATTAGAGACTGTCAAAAGAGACCGGACTGTGGTAAAATCGATTCCGGTTCCAGAAGATCGAATCATGCCCACTCCAGACACCACAGTCCAAAACACATCAGAACATTTTGGTTCACGCGGAACAGTGGTATCATGGACAGCAACAGCAGCAGCGGCAGCAGCATACTCACAGTGGTGCTCTCATGTGTGGGGAAATGAGAACAGTGGAGATAAACATATCCCGTGGGATTCTGCTCACCCGGTCCACAAAACCAGCAGCATGAATCCGATCGACTTACACAGTATCCGTAATTCTGGTGATCAGTATCACATTTTGGGGGAAAAAACACTATCGACATTAATACAACAGCAAACATCAGCATCACCACCATCATCAACTACTACTACCACTACCACTACAATACCATCACATAGTGAGGCTGTGGCGATAGACGGCTGCAATCATGTTCCCTCGTACTACTCAAACACCCGACACTCTTGTCATTTTAACGAGTGTGCTACTTTCTCTGGCAATCACCTAGATTCACAGATTCTCCAGGAAAATCAGCATTCAAGATACGGTGATTTATCAGCTTGGGGATTCAAAGAAGAACCGTCCACTTCTCAGGGTATTTATGGACACTGTGATAGGGGTTTTACACACTCAACTGATCAACCGATGTTTCAGTATTGTTCACCGCCATCGAGTGATTCTTTGCCCTCACCACGAGTTAATGACGGTGGTGGTGGTGGTTCAATTTCTGCTCCGGTTTTGTACACCGATTGGGGATATCGTGAGTAACAAGTTATCAATTTGTACCTGTCCTGTTTTGTTGTATGTTTTATTTTGAGAAACAATTGTGAAAATACACGTGCTGTCCTGATTGAATTTTATCTTTATTTACTCTGATACGTCCAGGAAAGAGAACAATCGAATCGATATTCAATTTTAAGGGATAATATTTTGAACCTTTGTGGTAATTGGAGTAAAAGTAGTATGCACTGATCACGTATTAGAAATCACGGACGCAACGCTGGCACTGAATCACACTGGTACTTTCACGACCCCACGAAACCGAGACGCGATAGCAGTTCATTTAATGAAAGAAATCAGGGGGGTTAAACACTATGTACACAACAAGTTCATTGGTCATCCAAGCCTCTGTCAAACGCGTTCTACTATTTCAGCTTCTGTCTGGGCCGCACGTTTTCTGATTGGCTGGTACAATGAACGTATGGTTTGTTGTCTAGACACAGTGATACGTACACGCTTTGCTGACATCACTAAGGGGGCTTGATTGATCACAGTTGTCTGAAACTTGTCGCTCTGTGGCATACATTATCTCGTAGGCTAGGATCACCACGCCCTTGCACTACGATACCACAGTGCTTTCTCGGAATTGAGGGGGAAAACATTATTTTTACTTAATAATTAACAAGATCACATGACTCGTATCGAGCTTGTTCTGGTAGTTTTAACCTATATAGCAAAACACGAGCCTTGTGATTTCCTCCGACTGTTTTAGTGAAGAAACTAAAGTTTGATGATTTCCTAATCTTCGGTGATGTTGGAACGGAGCGCACAGAATCCGTCTTGCCACGCAGCGACGCGCGTCACACCACAAGTGCGCGCGTGACGCCCCAGCCAAATCGACTTCTGATTGGATGACTAGGGCGAATCAAATAGCTGTCGTCCAATCGATCAACCTGAGTGGCAAGCTCACGATCTGATTGTTGCGTCATCAAGTCTTTTCTCGTACGCCCAATTTACCACATATATTTGCGTGTTGTTTCATGATCAATAATACACTCTGACTGTCGTTTCTCAGCCATGTTCTTTCTCCAGTTGTTGGGGCCTAGAAAAGAGGCGCACGTATTGATCATACAACTTGGCATAAGGCATAAAAGGTAATTTGGAGACTGATACCTGTGTGTGTTTTGTCTGTTTGTTCACTAGTCCTCAAGCAGAATGGAAATCGAAGTACACGGTGAAAGAGCAATGAACATAGATCTAATCAAATTTTTACACCACAAACATTTCCAGTGAAGCTTTTGTCCTTGATCCGCATTTTGTCAATTATTCATTCAACTGAAACCTACAAAAAACGAATAGATGTGAATGTTCAATATGCCAGAAATTTCTACCTTGGACCCTTCTGTCTAGGGTCTTTCCAGTTTGGAATTCCCGGGGAACTTTTAGTGATCAGCTGATAAATTAAACAACACCGAATACATTCTGTATGATACTTGATCTTGTGAAGTGGCGGTGTACTGCTTTTATTCATTCGTTTATATATGTGATCTTCTCTATAGACTATTTTTGTCCCTTGTTCTCACTCTTTCCGTCTCGGTTCACCGTTAAACTGGTGCGCGGGGTGAGGTTGAGAGGGGTTTGTCCTTTCGTCCTAATTGCGGTTTTCGTTCTGTTTTCAGGTCACGGCTTGACCCTTTTTGTTACGTCATTTGATCCTTGAGTTGCGTTGGCGTGAACACATGATCCAGTTCGACGTGCCTGTCTATTAAGTTGATTGAAGAGTGCCAAACCTCGAGAAACTTTCGTTGACCGACCTCGATCGATAACTTTCACTGTTTCGAAGTCAAATTGATGTCCTTCTTGATCTACGTGGAGAGAAATCAATGATAGCGGGTCATGTCTCCTGACTGCCGATTGGTGTTCACGGATCCTTGTATATATTCCTCCGTATTGCAAGGGAGGAAAACTGTTTATGAATGCCGCAAACAACGAAATTTGTATTCTCACACAGCAGTTCTGGAATAACACATTTGACTTGGCAACCATTTTGAAATTATTGACAATCGTTTATACTCAAGTCAAGTCAGTAGTAGCTTTATACATCCAGATGGGTGAATTTTCAGAATCTACACCATATTTGTGGATTCAAAGTTATAAAATCATTACATAATGAAAACGAAAGCAGTAGATTGTGCTTATCAATTCTGTGGAAATTTTCACTTTGTCAATAAGTAGACGTGCTAGATATGGACGAACAGAATTACGACAAGCAGAGGTACGAGCAAATAAAAGTTTAAATCTTGAGCGTGTGGATGATGTAGATACGGCTTTGAAAATTCGTTGTGTAATAAGTGGTAAGTGTCTGAGAGTATTTTGGCAGTGAAACTTTCGCATGCTTGTAGGTATCTGTCTATGATAGAATCCACGAGTTTATCCCTGACACTGCCACCACATTTAGAGTTTAGTGTTTTAGAGATCTCGCCAGTAAATAAAAGTCTTTCTTCAACATACCGGGAAAAATCACTGGGGAGCAATATAACCAGTGGGATAGCATACATGCATTCACAAATCTAACAATCAGCTTATGGGGAACAGGAAGTAATCTCAATCGAAGTGAGAAATATCAAAGCTTTCTAACTTTACAGAATGTTTTTTTAACATGCAGTGAACATGATAAATTGTGTGATAAGGCAACGCCAAGGTATTTTACTACTGTTGATTTCGGTACGGATTGTTGATTGGCAGAGAGGGTGGTGAACCTATCTGTGAGGGCTGAAGATGGTACATCGGCCTAGAGAGAAAACACATCTTGACATTTAGAGGTATTCAATGAGAGGGAACGGGACAGGGACCAAGTAACAACGCCGTTTAACTTGCTTTGAATTTCTGAAGCCTCTTCAGGGGTGGATGCTTTGCAACCTAAAACAACGTCATCTGCGCATTTACAGCCAATGAATAAGTGAGAAATGGGAAATCGTTTGACATACATTGAAAAGAAAAATGGGGAAAATATTGCACCTAGCAGAACACCAGAAGAAAGTGGGCGCGTGGAGGACTTTTTGCCGTTGGGGCACGTAAACTGCCTTCTACTTATAAAATAATTGC